GGATGCTTCCCTACAGGCTCTGGGGTCAATCGTTCTTTTTAGCAGGAAAGCCCTGGGGCTACTGACTCAGGCTAGATGTCAAGGTATGGCAAGCACTGACAGACTACTAGAGCAGGGGTGGCCAACTTCAGTCCTGCAGAGTTTCGCTCCAACCCTAATCAAACACACCTGAACAAGCTAATCGAGGTCTAAGGGTTACTAGAAAGCTACTGGCAGGAGAATTTTTATCAAGGTTGGAGCAATGCTCTGCAGGACTGTGGCTCTTCATCACCGAAGTTGGCCACCCTGATTATTATGGCGCTTTTCCACTGCATGGTACGGCACGGTACGGCTCACTTTTGGGGGGGTTTCCACTGGGTACAGTACCTGGTACTTTTTTTAGTACCACCTCGGTTGAGGTTCCAAGCGTACCGTACCGTTGCTAAAACGTGACGTGTAAACTCTGCTGATCCCGGATTGGCCGGAGAGTCGAATCGTCACTACCTGCGTCACTGAACTTGCGACACAAACACAACAGAACCGCTAGATTTAACTCGGCACAGCCAGCGAAGGATCGAACGCAGCTGTTTTGAACGAGCGCACCTTTTTTTAACAACCAAAAAATGGCTGTTTCGTGGTCTGTTGAGGAAGTACAGACGTTCCTCTCGTTGATAGCAGAGGAGCGGATCCAGCGAGAGCTTGATGGGGCGATCTCCATCTCCATCTCAAGAGACTGGTGTCACAAGGGTGCGGTTTGATCAGTTTGAGAGAGATACAGGCCAGTGTCCAATGAGTGTCCAGTGGACCTCATTGCTAGCAGAACAACAACACGTTGTCTCCTATGGTTTGCGGTAGAGCAGGAGCAAGGGCCACTGTGTGCATGGCACTTAAATCGCTAGTGCATGTGGGATTTCTAGATGTTGCTTCACAGTGCCTTATGAGCCTCTTGAACGAGCTGACATTAAGCATCTTTCTATGAAGACAACCTTCCTCTTGGCCATAACATCAGCCAAAAGGGTCAGTGAGTTGTTATGTCCTCTCAGTGAGTCTACAATGCCTTAAGTAGGGTAACCTGAGGATGATTCATTTTCTTGCACTGATGGATGACTTTCCTTCATCAGACCCTTAATTTATCATCAAGAGCCACAGGTATTAATTTTGTGCTTTCTATACCAGCTTTTTTTTTACTCTCAAAGAGGCGGCACCTGTTGACTTGTATTTTATGAATCATCAAGGACCCCGGTTTCAGCTAAAAATCATCTTTACTGTTCTACTGAAAAAAGAAACACACCTACATCTTGGGTGGCCTGAGGGTAAGTAAATTAACAGCAAATTTTCATTTTTGGGTTAACATCATTCAAAGGCTCACCCATGCTCACCAACACCCACACATGACCAACACACTTGTCCAAATGCTCAATCATACTCTCACACACCATGACACCCACTCTCATCCACACACCACCACACGCTCTTATTTAATGCTCATCCAGACGCTCACCCACACTTCACCTAAAGCTCACACGTGCTCATCTAAACACATGCACTCTTCCAAACGTTCACACTTACGCTCACCCATACCTTCATCCATATACCCGTGAGGCCTGAAATCACATGCAGGACGGCACACAGTTTTACTCACTTCTGAAAGTTAGGTTTATATTGTGCACAAAACATTTATTAGCTGTAACAAGTGTGTCGAATGAGTACGTTCATCAGTTCATTCACACCTTCAGTAACCCAAAACACATACACTGACTGAAATGCACAGACATTTCAAAGCTCTAATCTGGAAATAGTTTTTCATCACTCCGCTCTGACATTAACAGCCTTTTTATTTTAAGCATACTGAACCGTGACCTGAAAACCAAACCATCATATTCATAGTCCTAATTATTACACATCTACATGACAGTGGTTTGCAGACCTTATTAGTGAGTCTTGATGCCGAAAATCATTTGGACTCGCATTTAAATTCAGTAGGTATTATATAAATAATTGATTATACGTGAGGGATTATGTACATCTTGCCTTAAAATAGTGTCTTTGTACAATCTGGTAATAGTGTTTGTAATTTATTATGCAGCTTCTCACTATTAAATCTTTTCAAGAGATTCAAAAGGTGCCTTTTTTAATATTGTGATTGTTTATAAACTGCAATTATGCTCATAATCACAATTGTTTTTATTCGTTATATTTCCACTTTGTTCGAATCTGCTGTTGAAAAATACAATATAAAATGCAGGTGCAAGAGCAACGACAGAATTTACATGTTTTTCTATATATCGCAAAACTGTTTAAAACTGTGCTTGAGAAGTGTTTTTGCCGATATTATGTTTACGAAAATTAAATTTGAAACTGGCCTTTTTTGTGCATTTATTGAACCAATGCTGTTTTGTTTTACATTAAAGAAATTCAATTCATTATTTTTTTTATATGCTCCCTAACGACTGAATTTTTAGCTATTCTGTGTTTAATACAGTATATAACAGACTTCTGACAAAATCATGTATTGCGACAAAATTATTTAGTTCAGTTACTTATTTTATTTCAAGTGGATAAATGTGGTCAAAACCAACACGAATCTTAATTAAGCAATGAGTGGGGTTGTTTGCACATCATGTAAACATCTTCATTTGAATAAGCCCTTACTTTGATTGTCAATAATCACATTATTGCATGCAATATGCACTTGGTGACTTTTCAGGCCAGAGCAGCAACTCTGGAAAGATCGCAGGCAGATGCAGAATGAGCACACTCTCACACCACATTCATTCACTCTGGAGATATAATCCATAATAATGATCAATAATACCGCATGTTCTTACATGCCATTCGTTTTATCTGTCATTTACTAAAACTGACAAATGGACTAAACTCCCCATTTCTTAACATAATACACTCACTCTGGCCTCATTAGGAGAACTTTATAGTTAAAAGCACTATAGTTATTACTAATCCAGTTGTGTTTCTTCAAATCTGCTGCACTGGATCCATGCAATAAGTGTTTAGATGATGCACATTGTCATTGGTTTGGTTGGTGCTCACAGATTGGCACAGATATCATAACTGTGAGTTGATGAGCATCATTTAGAGAAGTGATACCACAGTTCACCATAGTACTACATTTACCACGATCAAAATAAACAAACTCAAACTGCCTGTTTTTTTTTATTCATAGACGACAACACTGAAAAATTCAAAAATCTGCGGTCTTAATAATACATAGAGCTCAAAACAGCGAAAACACTCATTAGTTATTCTCATTAAGAAGGAAAAAATGAACTAGTTTGACATAAAAATAGCCATTCCATTTATATTTAGCAGAGACAAAAAACAACCAAACAATGATAACAAAAACAGCGAAAACACTCATTAGTTATTCTCATTAAGAAGGAAAAAATTAACTAGTTTGACATAAAAATAGCCATTCCATTTATATTTAGCAGAGACAAAAAACAACCAAACAATGATAACAAAAGTGTGTGTGTGTGTGTGTCTAAAATTCCAAAAACAGCTGCCTGTTTCTCTTAAGCCTGTACAGCACAAACACAATGCTTAGTGTAATATGGCTTCCAATTATTTCCAAACAAGTAAAGAAAAGCTTTTAGAATTTTGATCACACTTTATGTTAAGGTCAAATTCTCACTATTAACTACGACTTTTGCCACAATAAACTCCTAATTTGCTGCTTATTAATAGTTAGTAAGGTTGATGTTACGTTTAGGAATGGGGTTTAGTATTAAGATATCTAAAATGTGACCCTGCAGCACAAAAGCAGTGTTAAGTCGCTGGGGGATATTTGTAGCAATAGACAACAATACATTGTATGGGTCAAAATTATCAATTTTTCTTTTATGCCAAAAATCATTAGGATATGTGATGTAAGATCATGTTCCTTGAAGATATTTTGTACATTTCCTACCATAAATATATCAAAAATGTATTATCATTAGTAATACGCATTGCTAAGAACTTCATTTGGACGACTTTAAAGATGATTTTCTCAATATTTAGATTTTTTTGCACCCTCAGATTCCAGATTTTCAAATAGTTGTATCTCGGCCAAATATGATCATATCCTAACAAACCATACATCAATGGCTTTCAGATGCTGTATAAATCTCAATTTCAAAAAATGTATGCTTATGACTGGTTTTGTGGTCCAGGGTCCCAAATATGGTCATGCAGAAAATGGGCTTTAATATGCGCTTTATAAGCATTAATAAACAGATAGTAATCTGCATGCTAATAAGCAACTAGTTAATAGTGAGAATTGGTCCCTAAACTAAAGTGTTAATTTTTATGGAAACCCAAAAAGTGATGGTAGCATACGAGATGTCATAATGTTGGTACAGGCCACACTACTGAATGAGATATCTGCATGTTACAAGCCGCTTTAAAGAACAGCATAATACTTTATAGACAGAAAGACAGACAGATCCATGCACAGACAGACAGAGAGACAGATGCATGCACAGACAGGCAGACAGACAGACAGACAGACAGACAGATGCATGCACAGACAGACAGACAGAGAGACAGATGCATGCACAGACAGACAGACAGAGAGACAGATGCATGCACAGACAGACAGACAGAGAGACAGATGCATGCACAGACAGACAGACAGACAGATGCATGCACAGACAGACAGACAGACAGATGCATGCACAGACAGACAGACAGACAGATGCATGCACAGACAGACAGACAGACAGATGCATGCACAGACAGACAGACAGACAGATGCATGCACAGACAGACAGACAGACAGATGCATGCACAGACAGACAGACAGACAGATGCATGCACAGACAGACAGACAGACAGATGCATGCACAGACAGACAGACAGACAGATGCATGCACAGACAGACAGACAGACAGATGCATGCACAGACAGACAGACAGACAGATGCATGCACAGACAGACAGACAGACAGATGCATGCACAGACAGACAGACAGACAGATGCATGCACAGACAGACAGACAGACAGATAGAGAGACAGATGTTTACCTCTCCACCATGCCCATCGAAGACGCCAAAGATGGTCGGATGGCTCTTGTTCAGTGTGTCCGTGAGAATGTCAAACCTGTCCTCCATGTGGTCCCTCCTGCCCTGGATCGAGTACACCGCCGCACTCTTGCTCCTGTGCTGCCAGATTCTGGAGAGCTCCTCGTCCAGCTCGTTCTGCATCATCTCCGCCACCTTGCCCTTCATCATGTTCACCGCGTCGCGGCTCGAGCGCATGATGGTCTTCACCTCATCCGTGTGGAAGAGGAAACTCCAGAGAGCCAGACTGAGACAGAAGAGCAGCAGGGTCTCCGGCCGGTGCCGGAGATAGCGCATGATTCGAGCCAGCAGAGACATCGGACCCATGCTCTCTCTCTCACACACACACACACACACACACACACACACACTGAACTAATGACGGCGGCGCATCAGAGGCTCGTGCGCTCCTCCTGCGCAAACATCAAAATCCTGTCCATGTCGAGACACTCCCTTCGAAAATGATTATAGATGCTGTTTGTCTTCTTTTCACAATAATAAACAATAGATGCAATAATAACCAGATTCCTAAAAAATGGTAAATAAATGGCGTTTTTAGTCCTCCGACGCGGCTTTCTTGTGTGCGCGCGTCTATATATAATATATATATGAATCAGATCATCAGTCCCAGAGCTTTGTGACTGAGTCTCACACTCACATACAACACGATGGTCTCACACATGTTTATTTTAATTCTACTACACCCCTCTTAGAAATATACACCTGTCAGAATAAAAGCCCCAGCTCTGTGCTGGAGTAATGGATGATGAATGGTCCAAATGAAATTGCTGAGAAAAAATATGCAAACTCGCAGTGTAATCAAATGGATTGTTGAAGGTTTGTTTTGACTAAATAAATAAATAGCTGAATGGACATGAAATATTGTTTTGATTTGCGGTATATGTGAGAAATAAGAAACATCTGTCCAGCAAATCACTTACCAAGTACAACATTCAGTTGCCCTGTTTTGGTATTAAAGTCACCATGAAATCAAATTGGACAATTCTTATTTTTAAGAGGGCGGGAAAACCTGTCACATGATATCACAGCAATAGCAAACCAAAGATCCAATCAAATCCCGATGGTCCAAATTAAATCCCGCCCTACATTTGTTCTTATTTGAGAAAATCTGGGGTCGGTCTTCATCTGAATCACACAAACAACTACAATCCAATACAAACCCTCCTTCATGTACTCTTTCAGAAGATGTGAAATCGCTTCTTGACATGATGTTAACCACACAAACAAGCAGTATTTGAGGGAGCGGGTCGAGTTGAACATAGGCGGGCATTATGCAAATGTGCAAAAAGTTCCCGAAACAGTTATCTTGTGTTACTGTGAATTAATTGAGAAATGTGCAATATGACGACTCTAGTTAAAGGTGCCATAGAATGCATTGGTACAATATTTTAAATTGTTCTCTGATGTCTCCAGAGTGTGTATGTGAAGTTTTATCTTAAAATACCCCACAGATCATTTTTTATAGCTTGTTGAAATTGCCACTTTTAGGGTATGAGCCAAAAAGTGCCGTTTTTGTGTTTGTCCCTTTAAATGCAAATGAGCTGGTGCTCCCGCCTCCCTTTTCAGAAGAGTGCAGAGCTTCAATGCTAGCGGGCACATACCGGTGTTACGGTTTAACTGGTGGTGACCGTGTTACTGACTTCACATTGCTTCCAAATGCAATTTTTAGCTACCACATTCTGGTAGTGCGTGAAGGCAGCATCAGTGAAAACAGGCAGACACAATGGTAGCTTTAGCAACATTAGCCTTACAGAGAGCCAAGAAGCTCTTTTGGAAAACAAAATATGACGCGTGATGCTTACTTTGTCTGTAGTTTGTAGTTCGTTTGCGCACGAAGCGTTGGTATCGATCCCTCTTTCAGAAGTAATCTTTGCACAACTCAGCGCTGAACTGACCCTCGTTTGTGATCAGCACAAACATATAGGACTTTAATGTTTTTCCGGGACATTTCCTTCGAAAATGAAATGTAACCACCGTGTCCTTAGCGGTGTATGGAGACTGCTATGTTCGTTGGTGCATCCCAATGCACGACACTTGTAATGGCTCTTTGGCGCTGACATTGTACAGCAGCTACTGCAAGAAAACAGTAATGGCGGACCGCTGCTTCTCACTCAGGGCGGGGTCTATGCTAATAGGGCAGAGAGCATCACAAATGGGCGGGACTTTCCCAACGATGATGTCATAATAGGGATAAATCTGGAAGCGCTCGTTTAGAGAGACTGTTTATGATTTATTGGGATTATAAAAAAATGAGTGGGTGGCTTTTTACCATTATAGGCTGGTTGTTTTCACACACTGCGGCCACACAACTGTGTTCGACCACCTTATAAAAGTGATTTTTGCATTCTATGGCACTTTTAAGAAAGTCCCACCTTCTAAAAACACAGAGTGGAGGCTCATGACTTAACAGTTCAGGGTCAGGGCCTTAGTCTCCTGAGATCCGCTCTTAGGACTGCACGTGTGCATTGGCCAGACCAACACAAAACAGATGCTTCTTAACACTAGCATAAAAAACAACATTTATGAGACTGTCAGATTTGTCAGATTTTATTGCTGGTTTGAAATATGTTATGTGAGTTTGGCAAAAAGTGTTTGAGATTTTGGTATTTCCCCATTCCAAGTAGAAAGTTGGTCTTGCATGACCGAAATAGCTGCCAATATGAACAGTAGTGATGGGCGCTTCGAAACACTGCTTCACGAAGCTTCCAAACCTTTAGTATAATCAGTGGATTCAGAACTGTCACGTGATTTCAGCAAACGAGGCTTCGTTACGTCATAACTGTTTCGAAACGTTTCAGAATTTCAGCAGTTTGCCGTTGGGTGTGCAGCTGTGTTAACCGCGGCAAACCATTCAATCAGTGTTTATAGTTTATACCTGATCAGTTTCATCAATTTGTAGACATCTTAATGAGGAATTTGTATGATTAAAAGGAATAGCAGTACATAATAGTCTCTTATTGGCCTGTTTACCTGAGCCATACATAGAACAAACAAAACAAGCTCTGAAAATTGATTAAAGAACACGTTATACTGACACTTAAGATTTAATGGTGATTATTGCATTTGCTAGATTATTAAAGTGACGTGATGTGTAGCCAAGTATGGTGTCTCTCTTTTTATGCATGTTTGGCTGAGTTTTCATGACATTTTACACCATTCTGACCAGCAGGCGTCACCAGAGTGTGCTGTTTCGAACGCTTCCCTGTTGAAAAAACAGCATATGCTGGTTAGGTATGTTTTGACGCTGGGATGCTGGTTTATGCTGGTCATGTGCTGGTTTAAACTGGTCATGTGCTGGTTTAAACTGGTCATGTGCTGGTTTAAACTGGTCATGTGCTGGTTTAAACTGGTCATGTGCTGGTTTAAACTGGTCATGTGCTGGTTTAAACTGGTCATGTGCTGGTTTAAACTGGTCATGTGCTGGTTTAAACTGGTCATGTGCTGGTTTAAACTGGTCATGTGCTGGTTTAAACTGGTCATGTGCTGGTTTAAACTGGTCATGTGCTGGTTTAAACTGGTCATGTGCTGGTTTAAACTGGTCATGTGCTGGTTTAAACTGGTCATGTGCTGGTTTAAACTGGTCATGTGCTGGTTTAAACTGGTCATGTGCTGGTTTAAACTGGTCATGTGCTGGTTTAAACTGGTCATGTGCTGGTTTATGCTGGTTTAAGCTGGTCATTTGCTGGGTTATGCTTGTCCTTTGCTGGTTAATGCTGGTCCTTTGCTGGTTTGCTGGTCCGTCAGGGACATTTTGCATTCCATATTTAATGAGTATTTTGCATTTTGCTTCAAATGTTATTGTTGCCAGTGCAATTTAGTTGATTATTATTATTACTATTATTCATATCGGGGTGTACCTTTGCACACAAACCTTCGGGAACATTTAGAATTGTGTGCAAAACACTCCTGTACCCTGCTCAAGTCCTGTTATAAAGTGCATACAGACAAAATTATTTCTTTTAACATAGGTAGCTTAGTAAGCGACTACACTAGTCATGCTCTGATCTGAATCTTCACATTCCCTGACAACACACGTACATCACAGATACGTCTATTTGACGTCTGCATTACATCTGCAAGACGTATTTTTAGTGTTTGCTCATCTGCAATACATCTATAGGACGTTTCCTATCAGATGTCAAATAGACGTTTAGAAGATGTCTTTAAGATGTTCACGATTTACAAACCTGATTCCAAAAAAGTTGGGACACTGTACAAAGTGTGAATAAAAACAGAATGCAATGATGTGGAAGTTTCAAATTTTAATATTTTATTCAGAATACAACATAGATGACATATCAAATGTTTAAACTGAGAAAATGTATCATTTTAAGGGAAAAAGAAGTTAATTTTAAATTTCATGGCATCAACACATCTCAAAAAAGTTGGGACAAGGCCATGTTTACCACTGTGTGGCATCCCCTCTTCTTTTTATAACAGTCTGCAAACGTCTGGGGACTGAGGAGACAAGTTGCTCAAGTTTAGGAATAGGAATGTTGTCCCATTCTTGTCTAATACAGGCTTCTAGTTGCTCAACTGTCTTAGGTCTTCTTTGTCGTATGTTCCTCTTCGTGATGCCCCAAATGTTTTCTATGGGTGAAAGATCTGGACTGCAGGCTGGCCATTTCAGTACCCGGATCCTTCTTCTACGCAGCCATGATGTTGTAATTGATGCAGTACGTGGTCTGGCATTGTCATGTTGGAAAATGCAAGGTATTAAAAGTCTATGTATAAACTCTCATTTTAACACATTTAAAAGGCCAATTCTATTGTGAATAAAATATAAGTTTATGAGATTTGTAAATTATTCCATTCCTTTTTTACTCACAATTTGTACAGTGTCCCAACTTTTTTGGAATTGGGTTTGTATTTTGTGTTTTTGGGTTACAACGGATAATGTCTTGGGTTTGTGAATTACTATACCTTTTCCATTTGTACATATTTTTCTTACAGTGTACTAACTGATCAACAAACGCAGGTACAAGCTACTAACATTGTGTATCATAAATGAACAATTATTCAATTAAATTGAACAGTTGCAAATAGCAATTATAATTTAATTCATGTGATGTGTGTACTTCTAGGCATCTTTGGTTTCCTCTTTTTGTGTAATTTAGATGTAAAACGTGTGCTTTTTATCTTTTTATTGTGATAAAGTAATCACCTTTGGCTTGTTCTTGTAGTCATGGAGTACATGCAAGCCCCGGCATCAAGCACACAAGGCAACATGTGAGTATTACATGAGTCTTTTTCGTGTTAGTTCATCTCTGTCTAGGCTCTAGTAAGCCACACTTTCTCGGCTTGAGCTAGCTGTTTTGATTGAGATCCCATCCTTTCTGAATCCCTCGCTCTTCTTTTCTCGCAGCCTGTGCTCTATGTGTGGCATTGCCATTCCTCCAAACCCAGCCAACATGTGCGTCTCCTGCTTGAGGAATAAAGTGGACATCTCGGAAGGAATTCCCAAACAAGTCTCCGTCCATTTCTGCAGGCAGTGTGAACGGTGCGGTCTGTCAGTGTAACTGACTCAACAACCCTGACCATGTCTTCTGTCAGTGGATAGTGCAGTTCGGGTCAGAGCACAGCTGAGAAACATTACCAGATAGAGTTCCGGTGCTTGATTCTGATTGGCTGAGCCGAAGCTGTTGTAAATTACAAAGTAACATACACATTTGTTTACGTTTGTGTGTTGTTCGGCAACCACTTTGTAGCAACCACAACTGTTTCTGAGGAGCTACATTGTTTGGTGGAAGAATAGTTTTTATTAATATCATTACACTTTATTTGCTCTGTTTTATTTTGTGTAACCTTACTATATATATGGAATAACCGTGTTATAAAAGCAATAACCCCCGTGAAGCCGTGGTTTACAGTGAATTTATAACAGCTCCGCTTCGTGTCGTGCCTAACAACGCCCCTTAGCTGTTATAAATTCACTGTAACCCACGGCTTCACGGGGGTTATTGCTTTATTAACTCACAGCTGATAAATGCTTTGTGAGCAGTATATAATGGCCAGATTTTAGTTTTTGGGTGAACTATCCCTTTGAATCATAAAAAGCAGACGAAAGCATCATAAAACTCCTATTAACTACATGTTGATCTTTGTCTTCTCTTGTCAAGAAGATAAATGACAATGAATGGTCCTCGTTACTAACGAGATCTGTGTACAGCTCAAAGACAAAGAGGTTTTCAAGCATCAAAACAATAAAAGTTTCATACAGCTTTACACTTTTTCTTCCAAACATTAGAATGCGTCCCGTTTACTTTCCTGTTTCTGCGCAAAAAGTAATGACTATCATATAATTTTGCCGTGATTTACTGAAGACACACACTAAAATGTCATTAAGCGCAGCAACATTAAAAGATCACCATTCAGCCAAAACAAATTAATGATCGTTTTTAAATCTTTAGCAATCTCCTTCAAGCCACTAGGTTTTACTCATTTGTCAATAAGAAGGTTTTAATCATTTAAAATATAGTAAAATTTAGTATGAGCACACATATATATATATATATATATGTGTGGTGTCACGAATCTGGTCCATGAACTTCCAATTTCATTGACTCTCGCACTACACTCTGTTGCACATCACCCCGGACTACATTTCCCATCATGCATTGCACTGATTGCACTCAGCACGGATTGCACACAGCTGTTTACACTGATTGCACCCAGCTGTTTCATATCACTCCCTCACTATTTAACACTCACTCTGATCCCTTCCCTGGTCCGAGTATTGTTCAGCGATTATCACTCTCCTAGCGATAGCGACACTACAGAGCCCTCGTTTGTTTCCCTGCCTTAGCCTTAGCCTTGTCTGTTTTCTCCGGTTTTGCATCTTCGCCTGTTTTCCAAGGAGTGAATGCAACTGGAGCTTAAAGGACTTTATTGACTATGCCTTGCTGACTACGGGGTCAGCGTTCACGGTGGGTGTCGCGGAGGAAGGAAGCGACACCATGTCTGTGACTGAGGTGATGGCTGAACCAGAGCAAGCTCACAAAATGGCGGCAGTTGCGGAGCCTGATCACAAGATGTCGGACACAACCACATCTAGTCTAGCCACAGTTGTTCTTCCTGAGTCTAGTCAAATCACAGTTGTTATTCCTGAGTTCAGTCAAGTCACAGCTGATCGTCATGAGTCCAGTCAGGTTCCAGTTCATTATCATGAGTCAAGTTTAGTCACAGCTGATATGCATGAGTCTAGTCTAATCACAGTTGATCATCACGAGTCTAGTCAAGTCACAGTTGTTCTTCCTGAGTCTCGTCGAGTCACAACTGATATTCATGAGTCTCGTC